AATATGGACAATAAAAATAAATTATCAAAAACTAAAAAAAAAAAATTTAAACGGGGAATAAACCCACCCCCGCCCCGCCTTAAACGGGAACGGGGCGGGGGACGGGGAGGGCATCCCCGCCCCGTTGCCATCCCTATACAAAACAACTGTATAACTAAAATTCCTTCACCTCCTAGACAAATCTAAACCATGAAGAATTCTAAAATATAATCATTTCTATTTTGTAGACAATAATCAACTAACGTGCAATGCACGTTTTCCTCACTAGTATTTTATACAATTGCCAACAATAATCTAAAATTCCTTTTTCAAACCTCTTCATTTTAAGTAAAATTACTTGTGCTGGTATTTTAATTAATATCTTATATTCTTTATTTCATATTAGCCTTTTTTTTTTCATGTTTTTAATTATTAAATATTAGGGTTTTTTTCAATGTTTTTATTTATTAAACTTATAAAAGAATTAAAGTTGTTTCTTGGTTGCTATTGAATAAAATTATTGAATTTAGGGTTTTCCAATTCTTTCGATCCAAATTGATATAAGTAGAAATCAAAAATATATTGGTCAAGAATCAATGCTCAATATTAATTTGTGCGTGAATCAATAAATTACGTATATATCCCTTTGTAAAAAAATTTCATATTACTTATAGATAATTATTTTTACATATAAGCTAATATTTAATTTAAAAAATTAAATAAATTTAAATATTTACTTAAATTTTTAAATTAATATTTTTTTATTTATAAGTAAAATTTACAATTAAAAGGTAATTTTATACTTTTAAATAACTTTTAAGTGAATTTTTGTGTTATTAATGGTATTTTTATTTTATAACAATTTTTTTTACATAAAAGTGATTTTTTATTTATAAGTAATTTTTAATTAAGATGTAGTTTTTCTTATCTTATAAGTAATATTTTTCTTATAAGTATTTTTTAAATTATAATATAATTTTTTAATTAATATATTTTTATTTACAATTTAGTTTTGAATAAAATAAATTGGTTGGAAATAATTATTTTATAGAGGGTAAGATTAGAAGAGAATATGAGAAACGGTTAGAATCAGCCAATTTAGTGGGTTGAGAAAATCGCTCAAAATTATATTACATCAATTTTGTGTGATTTTTAAATCATCCAAAATCGGTGTCCAAAAAAATTATCAAGCACCAATTTTTTAACCCTTAATAAACAGTGCCGCCGGAAAGCAGTGTAAAAAAACTCCCAAGATGGCCTTAACACTGTCTAGTACTAAGAATTTGAGGCCATTCATTTCAACACCTTTATTTAGTCAATTGACCATTAGCCACGGGCGGACCCCAGGGGTCCTGGGGGCCACGTGCCCCCAAACTTTTGAGTGTATTTTTTTTAAAAGTAAAATCATTTTTGGTATCGATTGAAATATAAATTTTAATCTAAATTAAAGTTAACAATTAATTTTAATAACATATTTCCTAAAATCCATAACTATTTAATTTTTATCAAAATTTACTAAAAATTTGATTTTAATCTCCATCAAATAGGGGCAAAATCACAATAAATTTTAATTTTTCTCTTTTTCTTTTGCTTTTTAACAAAATCTTCACACTCCATCAATAAAGGCGAAATATTGCATTCTTAATATTATTTCGAAGTGTTCACGGTCTAGTTTTCTACGTCGTTAATGACGTACGAAAGGATCAATCATAGCAAATGCTACGACTTGTCAAAGTAAGCCATTCAAAATTAGCATTTCGAAAATTTCGATAATATGCTAACTTTAAAAATTCTTCAACGATCGTACGCTAATCGAATCTACAAATTATTTATGTCATCTCAAAATTTATTTCGAGAACTATGTTATATGCATATCGATAATCTAAACAGATATCGAAAATAGTTAAAAATGTGTTAAACGTGAGTTTTAAAGAAAAACGTTTAACTCGCATTTTCTTTGGAAAATTCAATTATTTCGTTAACATTTATTATTTTTATAATACAAATTTTTCAATGTAATTTTCATTCCTTTATTAAGAAATTTTATATGGAATATGACATAATTTTTTTTCGAAATTTTACGTCTAAAAAAGACATCTCATGCAAATTTTCGAATGCAAAATTATATGGGGTATGATTTTTTTGGACGTAAATTTTAGATTGTAAAATTTCTTCAAATTTCTTTACAAGTTCGATTGTGCCTTCTACCTTTAAACTTCTGCGTAGCCAAACAGAAATTGCACTTGAAACAAAGCCAATAGCTTCAAATTTAACCCTGTTTCAGATTGTAATACAATGATGAGAAAACAAAAGCGGAACATTTATTCAACCTTGTTAAAGATTAAATTCGAATAAATAAACACGAGGCCAAGCTTTTAGACGAGGCGTAGTATCAATACTGGAAAACACTGAATAAAATTCAGAAGAAAAGAGGGTTAAAGAAAGTTAGAGGAAGAGGTGTATCGGTGGCCTGGAATTTCCCCAGTCTCCTCTTCAAATGAACAGGTTTAAGAGCAGCAGCAACTATTTTAATCAAAATCTGATCCTCTTTCACTTCAGGCACTGCAACATTTGACTCAAACTTCAACACATCCACCCCACCATACTCACCATAACTCCATGCCTTCATTTCTGATGGTATTGAAGAACTTGTTGAAGCTTCAGCAGTTTGTGCACTTGCAGAAATTCTGGGAGGTAAATTGTGGGGAAAAGAAGCCTTTTTTTGCACACAATGGCTTGATTTTTAGGGTCTGATTGTGCTGATTTTAGTGCGGAGGAATTGAGGTGGCTGATGGGACGGTGGAGAATAGAGGGCTCTCTTCAGAAGGAAAGTTGTGGAGGAGAGGAGTGCTTCCACGGATGGAACTGGTTTTACAAGCCTATCATCTCCTTGGCTAAATCATGCTTATATACATGGCATTTTTTGGCAGCGTGGAGTGAAATGTTTGCAAAAAATTCATATCCATCTTCCACTACCTCATGACCACGACATACAAGGTCTAAATCATGCTTTATTATGAATTCAGTTACCTTATCCGAGCCAAATGTGTGTGAGACCCCCCTATCGCTCATCACCCAACCTTCTCCTTTGACAGGATCCGACCAAAGTAAGTCGCAAAGCAAACCAGTATCGGGAACATCAGTTGGACGAGACATAGTCCTTATTTGATCAAAGTTTATTAGATAAGGAGAAAGGCCACCATGCATGCAGATTATTTTCTCATCAATAAGAGCAGCCACCGGTAGGCAGTTAAAACAATCAGTAAAGACTTTCCATAGTCTCACATTGTAGCGACGTTTACATTCGTCATAGAATCCATATATCCTATTAATAGAAGCACATTCATGATTTCCTCTTAAAAGAAAGAAATTTTCAAGATATTTAATTTTGTAGGCAAGAAGAAAGGCATATTGTTTCTATACTCTGTTTTCCATAGTCCACATATCCCCCTAAGAACAAATAATTGATCTGGGGAGGGTATCCCGCATATTCGAAAAGCCTTAAAAGATCTCCGTACTGACCATGAATGTTGCCACAAATCTTTATAGGAGCATCAAGCTCAAGGAGATTAGGCTGTGAAAGAAGGATTTCACGCGAGGCAGTACAGAGAGTGCGGATCTCATTCTCCGACATCTGCACCTGCCGCACGGTGCTCAAATGCCGGGATGTCAATAACCGATTGATGATGTCATCGGGAAAAGCAGGCTCTTTCCCCTTTCCTTTTGCTGCCATCTCTTCCCCTCTCTGTCCTATTCCTAAATTCCCTAAAATTCAAACACGGATAACAAACTCGATGAGGCAGAGCAGGCTACAAAATACATGTTTAATAGTATAATTATGAATGGATGATGACAACAACAATGCGAAAAGGTATTTTCGGAGTTCATAAATCCGGTGCCCCTCGCATTCTCTATGCCCCCATTTTAGAATGAGGCTTTGGTCCCTTCGTTATTTTAAAGCTGTGTGCATGTCAAAGTTGGGCTCATGTAATAATCAAGTCACTTTTGATCCACACATTTTGATTGTTCCACAGGTACTATCCACATATTCACTACTTATTTCTATTATTTATAATTTAAACTGTTTATGAACACTTCCCATACGAGCTCATCAACCATGTTCATCATTAGAAACTGACCGTGTTTCCGCTTTTATTTGGTCATAGTTGACGTTTGAATGAATATATAGCTGACAGTAAAGACTTCAAGAATCCATCTTAAAATTTCGTTATTTGATTATATAGCTGACAGATTCATCCATAAATAGGAATGGAATGTGTTTAGTAAGTTGGGTCAGTAGAGTTCTTAGTTGTGTAGATAGGAATGTGTTTAGTAAGTACGGGCTCAATTTGGATTGTGGTCTCGTTTGGTTTGATTTTGAAGCGGTTCGGATTAATCAATAAAGCTATTTGTACAAAGTTGAATTATAAAAGTTGGATTACAAAATGTGTTGGCAAAACTCAGACAGTTGATTTCAAATGATTTAAAAATCTACTTTTAAAATGATTGGTGTAAATGTTATTTTATCAATCAACTTTGTACATGTAGCATAACTCTCTTTTGATACCTTGGCACTTTTGTCATGCAGAGTCGTCTGAGTCCAGATGCTGTGGCTCACAACTATTGGCCACATTGCTTATTTTGCACAAAATTATTCATTACTATGTTTACCATTCTAAGATTAATACTTCCAACGGAAGTATCAAATTTTTAGAATATGAAAATCAATTTTGATTATGAAAATTTAATTTATTTTTGAATTCTAGCAAATTTCTTGTTAAATTTGATTTGATTATACACAAGCAACTCCACTTGACAATCACATTTTGTCCAAACATGAATATCCTCAAAGCAAATGTAGCCCCCGGCCCCCATTTTTTTCCATTACATTACATTATTTTTTTCTCTCTCTTCATTTCAACCACATATTCATCAAATAAAATAATATTACACATAAATCTAAAATTTTTCATTACTTTTCTATCACACATTCTCCCATCAATCACTATTCCAAAAATTTTCAAGACCCCAAAATAGGGGCCAAACATGGGCGTAATAAAGTGGCAATTTCAAACCTTTAAGCTATTTCTGTGTATACTAAGAATGCTGTTACATAGCACCAATGATGTTAAAGCAACAGTTTATGTAATATTATACGATAGGTTCAATTAAAAGTGAAAATAGTCAGTCATTTAATTGTATTTTTTACTTAATGGCACCTAATACCACATAGACTGATATTGTAACTCCAATTGTATTAAATAACATTACTCATATTCTAAAAACCCAACAACTGCATAAACAAGCTTAATTGTTCTTAATATCACCGCAAGCGATTACTGAGTACAGTAACTATTTATATAACAAGCTTAATTATTCTTAATATCACTGCAAGCTTAACTATTTATGCTTTGTTGCAGACATCTCCATCACAAGTCCAGCCTTCCTTGGGATTCTTCTCTTCATCTTCTGCCTGGACGTCGCCTTTTATTTCCTCGCCCCCATCCTTGTCACCTAAAGCACACTTCGGGTGGAGATCAAAGTCGCACTCCTTACACCAGAATGACCATCCTCGTCCAGATTCATCGCATCCATCACAACAATAACCTACACGCTTGGTGAGATCAAGTTCGTGCTCCTGGTGAAGTGTGTGCCTCACTTTTTTCGGCCACTCCTCGGCCATCTTTTCGTACAGTTCCTCAATCTCCTTAATGCGTTCCTCAGTGAACGGGTAAGCATCTGCACCATGATCAGCGATAAGATTTCTGGCTTCAGTCGTGACAGTCTTGCCAGTTTGCCCTACTGCTACTAACGCCGGGATGCCACGAATCTTGAACAGACGACTTAAAGACCCCTTCCTTTTATCCCCAAATGGAATTGCCAGCCATGGCATCGTTGAAAAGAATTCATCAAAGGATTTTTGGTCTCTGTCACTGGAGATGAATATCACTTCAAATTTGTCGTCCTTTACTTTGATTTCATGGTATGCTTCTATGAGCTTAGGTAGAAAAGCACGGCATGGAGGACACCAATGCGCGGAAAAGTACAGTAGTATATTTTTTCCAACAAGCTCAGAAACCCGAACCTGAAAAGAGAGAAATTGTCAGATTAGTTACCAAAATATCCAACACTAGAAAGTGAATTGAGTATGAAGGCAGCCAACAATAGCATGTTTACCTTAACTCCATCTTTCCCGATTACAAAGTCGCAATCTTCTGATACCAAAATTGATTCAAGAGTTTGTGATTCCCTCTTTATCTTCTCCAGTTCTTCAATCTCAGCAAATTTCTCAGGCGTAAAAGGATAGCCCTTTCTTCCGTGATCTTCAATGACTTGAGCAACATTAGGATGAACAGTTTTTCCATCTGGCCCAATGACAACAACGGTTGGCAGAGTAGAGAGCTCAAAGTAACGGACTAACTTTTCACAAGTTTTGTCCAATACGGGCAATGAAAGCCACGGCATGCCTTCAAACTCTTGCTTAAATGACATCTCCTCATACTTGAGGGGTATCATCACAATCTCAAAATTCTCTCCTTCGTTTCTCAACTCTTGATAAAATTCAACAAGCTTCGGAGTAAAAGCAAGTGACATTTTGGATGCAAACACGGAGAAATACAGGAGTATAGTCTTACCTTCAAGTTCAACAACCGGTACCTAGTACAGATAATGGATGAGTAACATCGTAATGACGAGAACATGTACTTTAATTGTATATTACTAATTGAATCAAGAATCACATATTTTCAGAAGAATGTCACCTTTTCTCCATCCGATCTAATCACATAATCCCGTGATGGGGACACCAGTAAAGATTTAAGGGACTGGTTCCTCTTAGCTTCTTCTTCTTGCTCTTTGAGTTCTTGAATTCGTTCTGGGGTAAAAGGAAATCCTTCGGCCTCGTGTTCTCGGATGATTCCAACACCCTCTTTGGTTAATTCCTTCCCATTCTCATCCAGGATCACAAGATGGGGGATTCCACACACATCGAACAATTTATCAAGTCCATCACGTGTCTCAGAGTCAGAAAATGGAATGGCTAGCCAAGGCATTTTTGAGAAATACTTTTGGAATGACTCATTATCTCGATCAGCAGAGACAAATACGACTTCAAATTTGCCATCAGAAAGCAGCTCCTTATACACCTCCACCAATTTCGGGGTGAATGATTGACACGGGCCGCACCACGACGCCGAGAAATATAATCCAACTTTCTTTCCCTTCAAACTCTCGACCTTAACCTGTAAAATCCACAAACATAAAATTTGCCCTCTAGTATCAATTTAATTTTTGGCTAATACCAGATTTTTCAAGTATATCAGATAACTGTTCCGAATCAAGCCAATAGTTTCCAGATTACAAAATATGCACAGATAATCTAATCAACAGCATACTTTAACATTCTTAATTTAACCGAAAGTATCCTTAATTTGGTCTGCCCCCCAATAAATTCATCCATCCATAACCATAACACTCAATAAAAATTTGTTCTTTTGTCAATTTGGTAAAAACCCAGAAAAAAAAAAAATCAAAATCCCCCATAATAATCTTTACTGATTACTGAACGTTAATTGCCAGACTAGCTCATAATCAATCCCACTAATTACAAACTGTGTATACTTGTAACACTGTGTCAACTTCCACATAACACAAAAAAAAAAACCAAATAATAATAATAATAATAATTAAAAACAAAATATATATATATATATATATATAGCATAAAAAAACACGATTAAAAAATATAAAATAAATAAGAATACCTGGTCACCTTCGTTGCGAATAAGGAAATCTCTTTTGGACGAACACAAAAGGGACTGAAGATCGTGAGTGGGCACCTTTGTCAATTGATCCTCCATTTTCTCTCTTCTCTCTCTTATAAACTGATTGATAAATGAAATCTTGGTTGAGCTAAAATGCGAAACAGGGCTATATATAGCAGCAGTTTGACAGAAATTCTCTTTTTTGATTTTTTAATAATCAGTTTTTGAATAGTAAACTTTGGAAGAACAGGTGATTAAAATGTAAGAAAAAGTCATCAACTTGTGTGAAAAATATTTTATTTTCAAAAACTTTGGAAGAATATGTGTTTAAAACGTAAGAAAAAGTTATGAACCTGTGTGAAAAATATTTTATTGTAAAAATACGCAGATAAGCACAATAAAAAAGAATGAGAAAGAAGGCCATAATTGATAGAACCATGCTGCATGTTCGTATGGGGTTTACAGAACCCCGATAATTCACCCATGGGGTAGGTGGTAACATTATTGAGGTGGGTCTATGTACGTGTTTTGTTTTGTTACGTCCATTTCTGTACTGACGAAGAATCTTGATTTTCTTGGAGAGTAAGTTTCATGTGAATCAAAAAGGAGGGCAATTGATGCTTATCGTTTGATGTGGCAAAATTTGAATAATTAATTTAAAAAATAATTTCTAAGCATACGAATGTGATTATTCAAATCATATTTGTCGATAAACCCCTGTTTGGTACACATTAAAATTTTCATTTTCATTCTTCCATTCATTTTCAACCACACATTCTTCAATAAAATAATATTTTTCATCACATCAATAATTTTTCTTTCTTTTTCAACCACAAATTCTCCATCAATTTACTATTCCAGAATACATTCTTCCAAAATAATGTGGATCAAACACACTCTAAATATTGTTCGACGACAAACCTTTTTGGTACAATACCTACACCAGTTGAAATTTGTTTTTACACTCCTGCCCTCAATTACAAATATTTTGTTGACAGTTCAATAAATTTTTTTAGGATAGTTTTGGAATCATAGAATTTTGCATTGAAGACAAGATTGCAATCAGGAACTCAAGGGCCCACTCATACCAGGGACGTCATACCCCATACATCAAAAAGTTGAAAACTTTTGACGTCATACCCCATACATCAAAAAGTTGAAAACTTTTGACGCCATACCCTTAGAAACTTGCTAATAAAATGATGAAAGAAACTTGTCGTGATACTTCTTCCAGGGGCGGACCTAGGGGGGTCCTGCAGGCTTCCCCCCCACCCCCCAATCTTTTGATTTTGATTTTTTTTTTTGTAAAGTTATGTTTGGTATCGTTTTAGAATCTAAATTTTAATCTAAATCAAAGTTAACAATTAATTCTAATAATATATTTCATGAAATCCATAACTATTTAAGTTTTATCAAAATTTACTAAAAAATTGATTTTAATCTCCGTCAAATAGGAGCAACATCACAACAAATTTGAATTTCGATAACAAACTAATTTTAAAAATTCTTCAATAATCATATACTAATCGAATCTACAAATTGTTTTTGTCATCTTAAACCTTATTTCGAGAACTATATTATGAACATATCGAATAGTCCAAACAGATATCGAAAATAGTTAAACGTAAGTTTTAAAGAAAGATGTCTAACTCGCATTTTTTTAAAAAAAATTTAATTATTTCATTAACATTTGTTATTCTTGCGATACTAATTTTTCAATGTAATTTTCATAATTTTATTAGGAAATTTTATATGGAATATGACTTCAAAAAATTTCGAAATTTTACATTCGAAAAAGTCATATCTCATGTAAATTTTCGAATGCAAAATTACATGGGGTATGATTTTTTTTTTTTGGACGTAAATTTTCGATTGTAAAATTTCTCCCAACTTTTTTTCAAATTCGATTGTGCCCTCTTAACTTTAAACTTCTGCGTCCGCCCCTACTTCTTCCGTCATTTTATGCGACCCTGTTTGAACCACATTAAAATTTTCATTTTTATTATTCTACTCATTTTTAACCACACAATTTTCAATAAAATAATGTTTTTCATCACATGAATAATATTTCCTTCTTTTTCAACCACGCATTCTCCATCAATCTATTATTTTAAAATATATTCTTCGAAAATAATGTGGCTAAAAAAATGTATATATAAGCTGATTTTATTTTCACACAAATTAAAAAAAAAATTATTTAGTTCCAATTTGGTCACATTAAAATTGTAATCCATTTTTCTCTTTCTTCTTATCAACTACACATTCTCAAATAAAATAATATTACATGTAAATTTAATTTTTTTTTTCTTTTTTAACCACACGTTCTTTAAAAAATATTATTCCAAAAATTATAATCGTAAATAATGGGGGCCAAGTGGGGACTTAATATTACTGAAAAATCATTTTCTTTTACATAAATTTTTACTAGTTTACCTTTATTTAATTATCAACAATTAATAAGTGTAGTTTTTACACTTATTAGAGGCTCTAAATTATGATATTTTATTATTTTTTGGATAAAATTCTACATAATTTATATTATATTGTATTTTGT